CCTTCTTCAACCAAAAATGGGCATCCCTGAGGGTTCGGTCCGATTCGGACGGATCGGCCGGTCCAGTCTGGTCTGGTCTGGACGGCCCGGGTTGGACGGTCGTTTCGGCTCAGGCCAAAACTAATCTCGGGGCCTTCCAAGGGGAGGGGGGGGGGAGCGCAAACCATGGCCCGAGGCACGTGTGCGACCCAAGGGGGCCAATGGAGCGTTGAGATAAGAAGAGAGGGCCATTAAATCCACGGGGGTATCGTGGCCCCAGCCACGATTCCCACCCCACCCCGAGACATTGCCCCCTCTTGGCCGCCGCCGACAATCCCTGTACGCTCGGAATTCGGACCAAGCGGCCCGGGTCGGATCGCGGTCCAGTCCGGCCAAGCTCGGCTCGGGCCAGGGGCCGTGTCACGTACTTCCAGCGAGTACAGCAGGAGAACAGCATTGATCGTTATCGTTGTGATCGTTATCGTTGTTATCGTTGTTATCGTTATCGTTATCGTTATCGTTGGCATCCGGGCGGCGCCCTGGCCAAGGCCCGCAGGGTCCTGCCTCTCTCTCCGCGGAGTCTGGCGCACGCCTTTCTCCCCTCTCGACGCGACGGCGCCTCCCCGGGGGCCCCAACAACACTGGGCTTCGCGCTGTGAAGCCGGTGGCCTCGGCGTCTTGCGCTCGGAGCACGAGGGGCCGCGCTGCGCGCGCCGCCCGACTCTGAGATTTATGGGGGAAGGACTGCAAAAAAAACGAAGGATTGCAAAACAAACGAAGGGTTTTTTTGCAATCCTGGGTTTTGTTTGCAATCCTGGTTTTTTTTGCAATCGTTCGGGTCGGAGGGGCCTGCGCAGATCTCGCAGAGTGCTGCAGCTGCACCGCCGAGCGCGGAGGCGCGCGGCAGCGCAACGGGACAGCGCCATCCAGGTCGCCCAACTTCGCGCACAGCGCCCCGCAGTGCGGGGTTATGTCTTCGCGACCTGGAGCTGCCCCATGGGTAAGGGGCAACCGCTCTGGTCCAGATCGCGGCGCCCAAGGCGCAGTTCTCTTCGCGCCCCATGCGTGCGTGTGTGCCCCAGATTGTGTATCCACTACCTTGCCTTGCGCTCCGCGGAAGACGTGGTTCGCCAAAGGCGAGACCATGTCTGGAGCATGCTGCACCATACTTGTAGAAGCACGGGCGCTGGAGTGAGGCATCATGTTGCGCACTGCAGGGGGGAGGAGAACGAGGAGGGGAACGAGAAGGGAACGAGCAGGAGAAGGAGGAGGAGGAAGAGGTGGAAGCATAAGAGAAACGAGCACGTTGTTCATCCGGAGTGCGCGGCACTGCCGACTGCTCATCGGCAGAGGGCCGGGCGCGCGCTGCACCACCACCGCGCTCCCTCGGCACCCGCCGAAGACCGGGCCTCAGGCCCGAAGAGGGCGACGGCGCCCGCACCCGGCGCTCGAAAGAAGCCGGCGCACCGCGAGGACCGCCCCTCGGGCCGTGAGCCAGGAAAAGAAAAACCGGCACGAGCATAAACCTTCCAATCTCCATGCGTCTTCCTCCTCCTCCTTTTCTTCCTCCTCCTCCCTCCTCCTCCTCCTCCCTCCTCCTCCTCCTCCTCCTCCTCCCTCCTCCTCCTCTCCTCCTCCTCCTCCTCGGACTTCTTGTATCGGCGCCGGGGCCCCCTCCCGAGCGCGCGGAGCGCGCCGAGGGCGGCGCCTCCGGCGCCGCCCAGGGGGGGCCCAGCGCCGATCCACGAAATGCGTGTGGGGAGCGCCGAGACCCTACGGTCGGGCACTTGTGCTGCACGTGTCGCGGGGGCCGCCACAGCGACGCGACGTGCCCTGCGGGCGGATAGCATGTCCTTTCGCTGCGCGGGGCGGGAGGCTGGGAAGAGTTCTGGGCGCTGACGCTCGGGAACTGGGAAGCGGTGAGCGTGTCTCGCTGCAGCGTGTTGGGCCAGGAATCCGCGGCGCGACACGCTGAGCAAACATTCCCGACCGCACCCCTCGGGGATTTTAGGGCCATAACTTGGGCCTCCGCAGGCCGTTCGGGAACATCGGGGCACACCCAGGATGCTCTCGGCGAGGCGCAGCTGCTGGAGAGCTTCCCGAGGCTGGAGAACCGCCGAGAGGCGACGAAAACGCACGAACACCTCAAACCTCGAACCCTCACGGCCCTCTAAAGACGGGACATCCCCAAACTGGGGCATTGGCGCACCCGAGAAAACTGCAGCCGTGGGTCGGCCTTGAGCAAGAGCCGTCTGTCTCGGCGGACCTGTAACCCCGCCCAGACATGTTCCCACGACCAAAACTGCTCGGAAAACATAGGCAGGTACGCCACCAACCTCCTGGGCTCGTTCCTCGGTCTTGCTGGGTCTGGCCCCGTGCCAGAGGCGAAGAGCAGTACTCCATGCTCCGTTGGCACACGTCAATCAATTCAGATACGCAGTGATGCGGGTGGAGACGGACTCTACTCATTACGATTGCGAGGATGATTATCCTCTCCTGGGCGGTGGTTCTACTCTGAAGAAAGGGGGTCATAATGCAAAGGCTGCTCGGTCGGCGGTGAGACAGGCGGTCGCAGTTCTTACACGTCAAGTTCACAGGTGGCCGCAGCGCTCACCCAGATCACTTCAAAGTTTGGCTTGGATGCGACGGTACCACAGGGGACCGACCACGACAAGCCCCACGACCTCAACAACGGCAACAGGAGCCTCCCACGTTACGGAAGCTTCGGGCCATGCTGGCACAGTTGCGCAAGCAGAAGATCTCAGTCTCGGAGGCCACGGCCCGCAAGCACCTTCAGGAGCTGCTCGAATCGTCGGCCTCAACTCCACCTTTGACAGGGCCCGCTGCGACGAAGCAGGCCGACAGACAACCTACGCTGCTGTCAGAACCCTGGGGGGCGCCCAGATTGTCAAGGCGGCGGCGCTGAAGAACACTACTCTAGAGCGACCTACGGTCATCAGCTGGCAGTCGGCAGCAGAATACGATACAGCACGCAATTGGTTGACATCTTTGGCTGGGGTGCCAGCTGGTATCGCCTTTGTTGTGTTCAGTACCTCGGAGATCCTCATTGGTGGCCAGGCGTCTGAGGTGATGGTGGATTCTCCTCGTGTGTCTCGCCCAGCCTCTGCGCAACTCGTCCACCAAGGGTCACGAGCTCCACAACGAGTCAGACTTACACCCTGCGAAATGCTTAAGAAATCATGGGTTAAGAAATTCATGGTCTCAGAACTTCAATAAAACCCAGAACTTCTATCAACACATCTTGGGATTTACACTGAAAAGTTAAGAATAGTCGAGACTTTGGACGAAAACTTAGGTTTTCTTAAACATCGCCTAAGGTGTGCAGCGGGAGTGAAGGACGACGCAGAGCTCGAGCCTGGACTCCCTTGGACTCGCGCTGACCACCGCCCGCGTCGGGGGTCACGGTCGCAGGGTGCTTCGCCGACGGTGCCCTCTCATTCGGTGCTGAAATGAGGAGCCCGTGGCGATCGCGACGGCCCTTTTCTCGGAGGAGCTCACATCACGCGTGCTCAAAACGAAGGGAGCAGTGACACATTCCGCTGAGATTACTGCGATTGTGGTTCTACGTTGGGTTAACCTCACGCTCTTTCTGGACTGGAAGGCCCCCCCTGGCTTCTTCGTCAACATGCAGTATTCTAAGCTCGTGCCCGTCTGGTACAAGTTGCGCGACAATGACACCCACAGCCAGTACTTCTCCCGTGGTGTGACTGTAGCTGCTGGGTTAGGCGGGCGTCTCGTATATTGCCCGTCGGACAATGCATCGTTGGGCGTCCTCTC